GCTGCTCACAGCCGCAACACAGACCTCAGAACTGGAAAGGGGAACTCACAAACACACGCTTTGAAGGATTCAACCCACGAGGTAAGTAAGACTTTTGCAGACCAGGCCTATCTGTAACAAATGCACACCCTTCAGCAGGTAGCGGGACAAAACAACATCAAGAGGCATCATTCCAGCACATTAAGGAGGGAGCAATGACTAGCTAAAGGGACAGGCAGCCTGCTAAAAAAGAAACGTGCTAGAGCTAATACGACATTAACTGAGTTTAAAATGAAAGATGCTATCTTCAGTACATGATTTGGGACACAGGGCCATGGCAAGTTCCAAGAAAAATGAGCACTTGGCTAGGGTCTCCTTCTGTAGCTTAATCTGGACAGTCAGCTGTACCTCACTCTAAGGTCCTCAAGTCTGGCATGCAGGCTCACAGACACATACCAGAGATCCCAGACACACACATACAACTTCAGCCAGGCTCAGGTACTCGCTACTGTGGGATAATTCGGGTATCTCGCTGTACAACTCCAGATGCCTCATCTACCCCTGGGTTGCTGAGTGGAGGAGCTCACCTGTTTTAATTACCGACGTGGGAACAATCTGGCTCCCGGGGCAGCTAAGAACAATGGTAACCCCTCCACCCACCATGAGATGAAATGCCTCACTCTGATTGAACAATAAAGGACAGTGAGTAAGTAGAGAATGGCAATTTCTAACCACATTTCGCCTCTTGCAGGAAGAAGCACTCAGGGAAGTTAAGCACTTCTTCAGTTTATAGTCAGGCAAAACAAAGGAAGATGGGGAGGGCTTAAGAGAGCTAGACAAAAACCCATTCAGGATAACAGAGTGCTAAGCATAAAAGAAATTTCCTTTTGCACTATTACCGGCTTAATTTTATGGTCTTTACAACCATGAACTCGAATGCTTCTGCTGCAGATACAGTCAAATTGCTGAGAGTTGAAGTGCACACAATATATTCAAGTGTAGCACCAGTACATTTGTCTAGCTGCTAGTCGGTGTGTGGTGCTGCGGTTCATTCTTGGAATGAGACCATCCCCCTAGGCTGCTGCAAGACTCCTACCTCGAAGACAGAGGAAAGTGAGAAAATCTTCAGTCTTGGGCTTCCTTTTGGAGAGGTCAGAAATCTGAGTGGCGGGAGGGGGTAACAACGGCTCCACTATCTTTATCGGAGTTGTGCTGGGACTGTTTGGCTGGGACTGAGCAAACTTCCTTTGTGCTTGCAGCCTTGGCCTGTGGAAACAAGAGCGTATCAGAAGCATGTTAGGCAGAGCTGGCAGCAGAGACGTCAGAACATAAAAATTCACCGTTTTAAAAAAAAAAGGCACATGAGAGAGATGAATCCATCTCCCACCAGTATCACATCCCTACCTGGGTCAACTGCAAAAACAGTATTTTATTTGCTTTACCCTTTGGTTTCTTCTGCAACAATTTGGAAAACCAGAAATGGAACATCTTGACTGCAAAATCTGTGACTGCTATTTCATATGTTCCAAGTATTTTCTTGCACATCATAAGATTACAGTTTACCATTCTTATTTGGAAATTAAATCTGTATTTTGCACCATGAAAATGACTTTTTTTAAAAAGTGTTAAATGTTCTTTGCTTCTTGTTTTTAATTAATTTACAAATGAGGTTTATTTTAGCCCCATTAAGATTTTAATTTATTCCAATCTGCTAGAATCTTATTTACATGGTAATATGCATAAATAGATAAGGTATCTATGTTAGTGCCCAATTCCACAAAACCAAATCAAAACCTTTAGGAAAAGATATTTTTGACAGGGAAAATATCAGGTAGAAGCCACTAGATTTTTGTTCCCTTGGTCGTAGCCAGAAGACAGCAAGCAACTAAGTCTAGAGTGGGGTGAAGTAGTATTTGTGACAAATTTGTAAGAATGAAGGACAAGCACGGAGTGCATTTGTCTCAGTGCTGGTATTGCGCAATGGACTGACACTGACAAGTTTTAGAGCACGCCTGGGTACAGCTATAAGAAATGAATGGATGCAGGTGGTTTTGGCGGTCAGGCTGCAAATTATTTCAAGCCTATCTGAAGGCTCTGATTAACTGCTAGGTGGCAATGAATATGATTTTCTTTAATACATCCAGAACGCAAATTGGTATTAGGGAAAGCGCTTTGGGGCAGGACACATACCCGGAGGGGGTCTCGCTGGGAATCCGACTTGGCTCAGCATTTAAGAACATGCTAATTTCTCACTTAAGCAACTGGAATTCTAATTATGATCTTTATTACAGCTTCAAAAAGGAGAGAAGCAACTGAAAGAACTTAAAACCTCATTGAGAAAGGATGCAATTTTATGTCATTTTCTTCCTTAATAGCAGAGTATTTACATAATGTCAAACTGAAACACATATCAAATAACACAGAAGGAAAAGCCAGGTCTTGTCACTCCACAGCAGGCTTGGCTGTTAGGATTTAAGGAAAGCACAGTTATTGTTCAGTTAGGGTGAAACACGTAATTGGCAAATCTCTTCTTTTTCACAGATATTAGACTTAAATAGTTGGGTAAGAAGAGGTTTGCTACTGTATTTTAAAATTCCACAATTTTGTGGCTAAAATAGGGAAAAAAAAATATTGAAAATCCCAGCAGTGTTTGTATAAACACATCCCCTAATGACAACAGAGAACAAAAGTAGCATCAACAATTTTCTCCCTAAGCTCCACGTAAAATTGTTCATGTCCTCACTATCCAAAAAACAACAAAAACCACCAGCCATTCTTACTGCTTAATTTCATCTCCTTAATGGCAAATACAGCATGGCATTTACAATTTTTTTTTATCACGGTGCTTATAATTTGTCAACTGGAACTAAAAGACTACTGAACACATCTTTTTCCTCTTATCTATGAACAATTATCTTTCCAGAATGAAGGTCTTGTATAGATCTGCCTGTATATCCCCAAAATTACTCAGATTGCCTTGCAAAACTCTATTCCTTCTAGCAGAGGACTCCCATCCACGACGAATAGGATTTTAATTTCAACCAACTACATTTCTATCACCAGAAACCACACATGCAGCCAAAGAAAAACTCTTTGTGTTGGCTTCTGTTCTGCACATAACGTACGTTCCCCTGCCAAAAACCTGACTGTAAAGGTTAGCCAGCAACCCTGCCTGTGCTCTCATATGCAGAGCGGTTTTTCCCCACCAATGGGCTTCCTCAGGTGGGCTGTTACAAACATACACTATCCACTCACCCCATCTCTGGAACTACCTGCTCCAATCTCATGTGATCAAAGATAAGTAGCAGGGAGGATTCCACAACCACCAGCATTGAAAGGGGATTAGGGAACGACGTGCAGGTTCTGCACAGCCATGAAATGAATTAGTGAGTACTTTAAGTTTCGTCTGTCTTTGAAAACACACTGTCTGCTAGCTGCCCTTCACCTGGCAGCATCACTGGCTTTTCACTACCCACCACACTCCAGGGGGGGCCCTTCATTTCAGCAAGGGCAGTGAAAATGCCAGACCTTCCCTCCTCTTTAAACTCTTGCTGCTTCCTGGGGAGGCTGTGGAGACCTGTTGCTATAGTCAAACCCGTCCAAGATGCCTCCTCTCCTGCACACAAACTGGAAGCACCTCTGTTGATGTTTGCTGTACTTCTTCCCCCCTGACTTGCACTCACCAGTGCCACAAAAATAGGCCTGTTCCTTCCAAACAAAACCACGTCTGTTCCCTTATGTTATGGGGCATAAGCATCACCAATATGATTTATGAATGCTAGTAAATGATGACACCCTTTCTTGGCTGCAGCATCCTTAAGGTTTCTGCAATGACTTCTGTTTCATGCAAGGTTAGGCACTTGCTCCTCAGGCTTTTACCTCAGTGCCTGAGGGGGTACAGGGTCAGCCCTGAGCAAGAAACAAGCTGTTCTGTAGCTACAACACATTGGGATGAGGCACCGAGGTTAGGGAACAAAGCCAAGCTTTTAAGTAGCCTTCTTCTCCAGATTTGTCTAAGGATGACCAGTTTCAAAGGTGGGCCAGCAAGGGAAAAACATACACATTTCAAAACACAGGCAACAACTTGTTTCCTTGTGAAGGAGCATATGCATCTTAATAACCCTCTATGTCCCATAAAAACCTTTAGAAGCATAAACCAAATTATTTCGGGGACGGTTTCATGTTACACTTTATCCAACATAAGTATGAAGCTGCTGCCAAAAAAGGAGGCACCCCCCTCCACTACAGTTGCATCAGATCAAGCGCAGCAGCCCACTGCACTCATTGAGCACTTCTGAGCAAGGCAGAATAGGTAAGGAAGTGATAAAAGTGCTCAGAAAGACATTCTGTGTGTGATAAACACGTAACACCACGAGTGTGGCTTTGGTCTTTGCTTGTTAATGCAACGATTCCTGTGCCAAAAAAGGAGGCACCCCCCTCCACTACAGTTGCATCAGATCAAGCGCAGCAGCCCACTGCACTCATTGAGCACTTCTGAGCAAGGCAGAATAGGTAAGGAAGTGATAAAAGTGCTCAGAAAGACATTCTGTGTGTGATAAACACGTAACACCACGAGTGTGGCTTTGGTCTTTGCTTGTTAATGCAACGATTCCTGCTAATGCATTTGCCAACAGGGGACAGATTGGCAAAAAAAACCTAACAAAGAACCTGTTTGCATTCTCAAAATAAAATGCTTGCTCTGTCCTCATCAAAAGGGTATATGTTATGTATGACTTAGAAATACATAAACAGGAGGAAAAGGATGAGGGGAGAACTCAATATCACAACTAAATAACATGCAAACACCCAATGCGCAGCCAGAAATATCCAGACTATTTAAAAATAAACAGCAATTCACCTTCTCTCAACAGAGTGTTATTTTCCTTCTATTGTTTTTGAGAGACTTTAAACACCTACCTATGACATGAAGTTCAAAATAGCCTCAGGCCAAGAAAGCCTCACCTCCTTTTGGTATGGTTCTCTCCTACTGAACTGACTGTTTTGGTCCAACTAAAACTCCACAACAAAAATATCCCAAGTGCACCCACTCAGGCTAGGCTACAAAACATTTCTCTCCAATGCAAAATACACTTTTTGAAGCTTTTCTAGACAGGAATTTATTTTTAGTTGAATTTTTTAAGCAAGTTGCATCCTGTATAATCAAAACACTACATTTTGTGTTAGCTAAAAATACTTCAGAAAAGTCTTTTAAAACAGAATATCCTAGCACCATTCCTTTAGCTTGCAGAAAAGGACATGTTTAGGAAGGAAACACCTGCTACACAGAGGTGGTCTTTTCTTTGCGAAGCAAAGCTCAGGTTAGCACTACCAGTCTGCGTTAAATTTAGTAAACGTTAATACTCTAGGTAACAACACATACCGTGTTAACTACTAACCAAGTATTAAATTATCATTATGCAATTTATTTGTACATCGGTACAAAAATATTACTATTTTCAGTTTATTACTCCATAACTCCTAAGCAAAAGCAAAGCAGAAGTACTAAAATCCATACACAAAGAACAATATACACAATTGAATTGATTATATATATGTGTTTATACTAATCTATTTATAGTAAATTGCGGGGTTGAGAGGCTGTCCTTAAATCTAAGCAACTCAGCTGAGAAAAGATTTGCCAAACAAACTGTCTTTTTCAAGCATTCTCTAATCTCCAGCAATCTGTAGGTTTTCACAAAACTTCCTGCTTGTTAGGCACTACAATAGTCGCTTGCTGTTCTGTCTCACCACCTTTCGCTTACTCCTTCATCTTCGCTTTTGCCTTCGTTGTTTCCGGCTTCTCTGTTGCCTGATGTTTGTGTCCTTTTCCTTTATAAAGGCATCACTCGAGTTAGATTTCCAAACTCTGTAGGAACCGCAGCCTAAGTAGTTGGTTGAGTGTCACCGTTCCATGATTAATACTCATTTCCCTTTTCAATGCCATGTGTTTTTCACTTTCTGAGTTGCTAGCGAGCAGCCTGCAAGCTAAAGCAGAGGAATCTATGCCTCTGTCTTTCTAAGAGCAGCATCAGTATTTGGTCACTTTGCTTTTGTCACTTCTCCTCCTGAAAATCGGCAGTGTAGGTATTTGTAGATATTTATTTTTATCACACTAAAATCGATACTACTAACTAGCAGTGATGAGCTGCTATTAGTTTTCAGCAAACACTGCGTAGGTAGTTAGGAATAGAGACTCGCTGACTCCCTGATCTAAGGCTGGCTTAGCCGTTGAGGAACCATCCTCTATCAAAACACATCTTTA